CACCGGCCCTGTCTTGTCTTTGTACCACGTACAGCGCTAAGACCACTGTCGGTGCCAAGGGAATAATAACTCACAGATTAAAAAAAACTTCAATAATAGAGGGAAATGGCCGCGCTTTGAGCCTTACCAGCCTGCCGAGTCCTCTGACACCCAGCTCTGGGGCAGAGCGAAGGAGGAGCCCTCGCCACCAACCGAGGTGCCATCGCCCTTCCCCTGGTCCTGCGCCCGCCGCCATGTCGCAGACCCCGCCGGCTGGGGATGAAGGCACCGCGTCCCTTTGCGTCGCCACCAGGCAGGGCTGCTTTGCTGCGGGGGGGGGGGGGGGGGGGGGGGATTTCCAGCTTTTTAGCCTCGAAAAGTCACCCGTGTCCCTTGGAGGGATGGCACCCTGGGGCTGGCGGCACCCGCGCAGCCGGCCAGGAGCCTGGGCACGATGGCTGGAGCCAGGTCCCTGAGGGAGGGTCGCTCCGCCATGACAGCTCCAGTCGGCCCAAGCGTCCCTGAGCCGCCCCCAGGCCACACCTTGTGGCGCAGGGGCTCCATTTTGTCCCAGGCTTTCTGGGGGTACGGCAGAGGGAAGGGGTGCTCCTTCCCCTCACAGCTCCCAGACCCCTTGCGGGCGGCCTCAGGCTTTGCTTGTGAGGTACTTTGTCTGAGGAGCGTTGTGCTGGTGGTGGAGCCATGGCGGCCGCCACCCTGTTCTGCCCAACCCGCCAGAGGCTGTGGCATCACCTTCGATGGCTTTGATCGCCTTTGCGCCATCATCCGCGTCAGGGCCGTGGGACCGAGCCCCACCAGTGGCTGCCAACAGCCCCCAGCCCGCCTCCACTCACGGGGCACCCCGCTCGTGCTGCTTCCCCGCATTTACTCTTCACCCGCAAGGCGTTCAGAGAAACATCTACGGCAGGGAGGGCGACGAAACGCGCAGACATGTCCCTGCGGCTGTCAACAGTTTGGCTCAGGAACGGGTCCAGCCTCGGAGCCTCGCAGGACTCGGTACTCTGGCTATCAAGGCAGACATTGAAGACAAATCGAAGCCGATATGCTAAAAGCAGTAAGTAATAGTGACTTAAATACTCCCGTAAGAGTCCTGAGGTCAAAATCCTGACTGCCCACATCACCTGTGCCTTGGACTTCTGCTGGCACCTAGAGCACCCCAGTGCGCCGGTCCTGTCTGGATGACTTACACCTGCAGAGACCATCGCAGCTCTATGAATACACATCCCACACAGTGTCACCCATTTTATATCCTCTCACAGCACGTGCCAGGGCCTGCGAACAGGCCCCTTCTTCCAAATATCACGGCTGGGGCAAAAAGACAGAGCTGTCGTGGCGGCGGGTGCCACCTCCTCCTGGGAGGGACATCTGTGCCCTCCTTCCCCGCAGGCAGGACACACAGCTTTGCAAAGCTATTCTGAAATGGGTGCTGGCTAGCTTGTGGCACGGGCAAAACGACAGCAACTCGTGCTCAAGGAAGAAGTACAGAGCAGGGCCTCCTTGATTGCACGCAACGTGATGGAGGCACCAAACTTAACGCTACTTTGGGACTCCAGCTTGACTTTCCTGAGGGCCAGCAACTCAGCTAAAAGCGCGATGAGCAGGTGAGTGCTCTCCCTGAACTTTGTGGGAGAAACGGGGGTGCTGGGGGCTTTGGGGGGCTCCTGAGGGATGAGCCTTCTAGAGCGGGAGTTCTGATTCCAGGAACAAACCCAGCCTCCAGCTGCAGAGGGAGTCCACCCCTCATCTCCACCAGATATCCTCACCCCTCCGTCCCACAGCCACAGGAGAGCGGGGCACCCTTCTCAGGCAGCCATTTTAGCACCCAGTGCCCTCTCAGCTTTACGGCCACGCTGGAAGATGGCCGTGTGGTGGGGGACACGCCACGTTGGTAACCGGTGGTCTGCGGGAAGCCAGCTTCTGGAGCAGCAGCCTGGTGGCATTTTCACAGTTCAGAGCGATCAGGTATTTTTATAGAACAAAGTATGTCTGCGCTCCACGCCCTTTGGAAAGGCTTAAATCCTTCCTGCTTCCCTTTCACCATGGGGTCCAAATGACCGCGTGTCCTTATCCAAGAGCATCTCTGAGCGTACCCGTCTGTGCATGGTGCATTGTGGAAAAGAGGACACTTTCCGGTCCAGGAGAGGAAGGGATGGGGGGGGGAAGATATAAATCAGTGAAAATGAGGCTTTAGGATGTAGAAAGCTAAAAGTTTTAGGGGTGGGGGGGTGTGTGGGTGGACAGCAGCCTTCGCCAGGCACCAACACCAGCCCCGCTCTGAGCCAGCACACCCTGCCCAGGCCCACCCTATGCCTTCGTACCCTCTGCTTCCAAAACCTTTATATTTATGGCACTTCTACTTTTCTACACCCTTTTGTAGGTTTCCACTTTCATCTCTAGGCCCAGCAGAGGAATGAGGGGTGTGGGAATGCTTCTCGTTCACTGCTGAGCCTCTCGCCACCTTCGCCTGAGCTGCAGAGGGGAGGAAATGGGGGGGGGGGGGGGGTGTGTTTCCACAGCTCTCCTGCCCCAACCCTCCAGAGCAGCACCCCACTTTTTCCTCTCTCCTAATCCCCTCCCTCCCAAACCTGGGCATGCAGCCTGTCCCCCACTTCCCCAGGAGCCCATCCCCTCCTTATTTCCACACACACACCTGCACAGGAGTTTTTCCCCTTCTTTATTTCCACCCCCCCCCAACCCCCCACCCCCGCTCCTCCTCCTCCTCACCGCGTTGCTCCCTTTGCCCTTTCCCCTCCCTTCTCCATTTACAATTCGCAGGCGCTGTTTCCACACCGTCACAAATGAGAGGTGGTTTGTTTTTTTTTTTTTTAAAAAAAAAATAAGCGGACGGATGGACACACACACACACGCAGCACCGCGCTATGGGCCTCGCAGCAGCGCGGGGGGGGGGGGGGGGAATGTGGGGCGCGGCGGGGAACCCCACCTTTCCCCTCAGGATTAGCGGAGGCTTGAGGAGGAGGAAAGGGAGGGGGGGGGTGCGTGAGGGTGGCGGAGCCCCTCCATCTTGGTGGCCCCGCGCCGCGCCGTCCCGCCCGCCTTCCCTCCCTCCCTCGTCATTGTCTGCGAGCGGCGGCGCGGCGGCGGCGGCGGCGGCGCTTATAAGGCGGCGGGCATTGCCCGGATGTGAGCGGCTGGCGATGTGGCTTCCAGGGAAAGATGCTATTATCCGCGTCTCCGCGGGGGAGGCCGTGGTGGTGAGGAGGAGGAGGAGGAGAGCGCTGTAAACTTGGAACAAGTTTGGGACGGGCGGCTCCGCGCTCGCTCTGGGGGTTTTGCCTTTTTTTTTTTTTTTTTTTTTTTTTTTTTTTTCCCTTCTTCTTAAAAAAAAAAAAAAAAAAAAAAAAAAAAAGGAAGGACAGCAGAGGGGAAAGTCCCCGAGCAGCCACTGCGCTCGCAGTTTGTCAGTCACCATGTGTTTGTAAAAACAATAGAGGGAAAAGTTGTCGGACCTTCTTTTTTTTTTTTTTTTGTTGTTGTTGTCGTCGTCTTTTTTTTTTTTTTTAATTTTTTTTTTTTTTTTTTTTTTTTTTTTTGGCTGGCTGGCGGCTCGGCTGGCGGGGTGGGGGAGCTGGTGGCGGGCGTTTGGGGGTCGGGCACCCCAAATCCCAACAAAGCCAGGTGTAGGGCGCCTGTAAAGCTGTGGAGTACCCCGGAGCAGGACTGACACTTACAGTACTTTTTCGTGGTTTTGGAGGGTCACACACGTGTGAGATAATAAAGCACTTTGGCAGAAGATTCCTCTCTTTTTTTTTTCTTTTTGTTTTTTTTTTTTCTTTTTGTTCCTTTTTTTTTTTTTTCTCCCCCTTGGAATATTGTGAACATATTTGTGGCCATTTAAGGTAAAGTTACAATTTGCTGTTAAGAGTAACTTGTCTGTGTTTTTTGCCTTTTTTTTTTTTTTCGCTTTTTTTTTCTTTATTTTTTTTAAATTGTCGATCCCAATGTGTTATTTGAAAAGAGGTGCAAGTTATTCGATGTGTAAATGCAAATAGCATACCGCGTGTGTGCACACATAATTGCTCGTGTGTATAAATATACATTTTATATATATATATATATATATACACACGGTGTAATTACACGTGTGAGATCCACACTAAGGTGCAAACGCCAAGCGTGATAACTCGGGGCTTTTATTTCCTACCGGAAAATGAAGTCGAACTAGTTTTTGTGGAGTGTGTCGGGCCTGCAATAGCAAAATGTAAAATAAAAGTATAACATGCTGGGGGGGGGGGCGCTGGCATCGTCCCCAGAAACTTGAGCGTAAAGCGAAATCAAAAGGCTGATTTTGCAAAGTTTGCAGCAATGCTCGGGGTTGAAATTTAGCTGGTAGGCACGGGGAAGGGGTGGGGTGGGGGGGGATTGCAAACCAAAACAAAGCAGGATTTAAAAAGGAAAAACAACCAAAACAACAAAGTGGATAATACAAGGGGGGGGGGGGGGGGGGGGAATATTGTTCCTCTTGGCAAAGTCTCCGCATCACGTGTATTTGCAGCCTCGTATAAACGCGCTTTGCCATGTGTATGTGTGCGAGAAGGGGAAATTTAAAGTCTAATCCCTGCAAAAGTGCGGCGCGGGCGGGAGTCGGCGCCTGGCCGGGATCTGCGGCTCCATGCTCGGCGGGTACGCGCGGCTCCGCGGGTGGGCGCGGAGTGAGGGGAGGGAGGGCGAGCAGGGAGGAGGAGGAGGAGGAGGAAGAGGAGGAGTGGGGGGGGGTGTGTGTGTGTGTGTCGGGGGGGGGAACTGCGGCGAAGCGGCCGCTGCGCTGGGCTCCGCGCCGCTCCGCGCCCCTCCGCGCCCTCGCCGCTGCCTCCGCACAGGCCCGAGCCGCTGCCGGGTTGTTGGTTTTGCTTCCCCCCCCCACCCCCCTCCTCCCCTTTTCCAGCCTCGCCGCAAATTAAAATTGGGGCTAATTGGCAAAGGCTGCTCTCTGCTTCCCTCCCGGCCCCTCCACCCCCGCAGCCTGCGACTTTGCATATTTTTTAATTTTTTTTTTTTTTTTTTTTTTTTTTTTTTTTTTTTTTTTTTTTCCTTCCTCTCATTGCTGTTTGCCGTTTCTAAACGCTACTTTGCGTGGAAGAAGGAGAAGGGGAAAAAGTTGGGAGCGGATGGCTGTAGTTTCTGCTCTGGGATCCTCATTCATTCCTCGCTGAACCTCCTGTTGCATAAATGATGCTCCGGGAGCGAGGCTTTTTCTTTTTTTTTCTCCTCCGGATTTGGGTTTAGAGTGGATGTTACCGGGTTTCGATCGCCTCTTTGGAAATACAATATCGCTTTTTTGTTGGTGGTGGTTTTGCTGCCCCTCCATCTTTTTTCCCTCCCTTCTTCTCAACTACCCACCCCCCCCGACCCCCACCCCCCTGAAAAATCCGATTGTGTTTCCTGCAAGGCTCGGGACTGGGTTTCTGATTGCGGTTATTTCCATGTTTCTAGGTTTGTGTGATTTTGCTAAAATGCATCACCAACAGCGAATGGCTGCCTTAGGGACGGACAAAGAACTGAGTGATTTACTGGATTTCAGTGCGGTAAGAAACAACGGTGGAAATTAACAACAGCTGTAAAAAAAATATCTTCTAGCTGATCTGGTAAACTAAAAAAAAAAAAAAAAAAGAAAAGAAAAAGAAAAAAACCCAACCAAAAACCAAACCAAACCAAAACTGTGATCTAACTACATTGGGCAATTTTTAATCAGCAGCTAGAACCATGGTAAATATCTTTTTGCTTAAAAAAAAAACCAAAACCAAAAATTAGAGTCTTTTTATTATTTCTTATTGTATGTGATGGGAGATGCAATCGTGTTCACAGCTTATTTGAATGTCTTGGATGTCTAAAATAATTCATACAAAAAGAGACGCCCCTAAAACCGAACATTTCTCATCATTAGTTAATAACAATATCTAGCACTTTTATTGTGCTTTACGTTTTATAGCTTTGTTGGCACATGAACTAATTAATTGCTAATTAGTTGCTTATATTCTATTTTCAGTTCTTCCCTTGTTTCATTTTTTGGCACATGGAAAGTGCAAAGAAATCCATGACTGTCTCAGTTTAAAGTTTTCACTGAAATCTCATATGGCTTCTGCTGTCATTAAAACTGCTCCAATCTTCCCCCCCCCCCCCCCCCCCCTCCCCGGCTAGATGGTGCTTTTTTATTTTACTTTTTTTTTTTTTGGAGGGGGGGGTGGGGGTATGAAAAGAAAAGGCACTTTTTTGTCTCTTTGGGGCTGGTTTGGAGGCCAAACGTTAATCCGGACGTGTGCACTTGTCTAGTTTTGTCAGGCTCTCCCTCCCCCTCCCAGCCCCTTCCTTCCTCTCCCCATCTCCTCCCTTCCCCCCCCCCCCCCCCCCCCCCCCCCCCCCCCCCCCCCCCCCCCCCAATATGTCAGGAGTATCTATCTGTCCCGTTATTTATTTATTTAAGGGGAAAACCAGTTTGCTGTGAGATGCATGTATGTTCCTAAAGCCCAGCAACACCCTGCAAAAACCTGACCCCCCCCCCCCTTCACCCCCGCCTTTTTCTATTTTTTTTTTTTTTTTTTTTTTTTTTTTTTCTCCCCTCCCCGTGTAAATGAGGCTGCTCCAGGCTGGTGCTGCTGCTGCTGCTCCAGACTTTGCTTTGGAGGAATGGCTTGGGGAAGTTTGGCCAGGAAACGTAGCCTGAGGCAGCTTTGCAGCCCCCTCTTTGCTTGTTGCACTTTTTCCATTTGTTCCTTCGCTTTTTGCAGGCTCTGACTCAGGGAAGGTGCGTATTATCCACTAGACACGTCGAAGAAGAGAGAAACCAATTAGGGTCGAAATAAATGCTAGGGAGAGAGAGAGGGAGCGAGAGAGAGAGGGAGGGAGAGGGAGAGAGCCTTGCTTCAAATTGCTCTCGTGTTAGAGACGAAATGAGAATTTAGGGCAGGTGGCACTTTGCATTATTCTTATTTGGGTTCACATATGACAGGCAAATCCTAAAGCGGGATGGAAATGGACGTTGCTACATTTATGGCCAAGGTTTCCTCCAAAAAAAAAAAACCAAAAAAAACTCAAAACCAAAAATCCAAAACCAACCAAACTTTTTTCAAGCCTTTGTCAGCGTGAGAGTTGGGAGAGGGGAGCGAGCCCCGCTTCCCAGCTTGGATAACGCTGCTGGGGACTGGGATTGCTCAAACTCTTCGGGAAGGGAATATTGTTTGGGGAGCTAATGAGCCTAATAAAAACGTGCTGGTGGTGGCGAGGGGCTGGTGGGGGCTCTAAGAAATATTGACTCGTTTTCAGGTCTGTGGGGGCTGATGTTTCGTGGTAGACAAACTATTAATGTAGTTCCCAGCGAACGTGGAAGGAACTTTTGCTTAACAGTGGACTCGGGAATCTCTTGTTTTCCAGTAGTAATGCTTCTTTGTTTTTTTTTTTTTAGATGTTTTCACCTCCTGTGAGCAGTGGGAAAAATGGACCAACTTCCTTGGCAAGTGGACATTTTACTGGCTCAAGTATGTAAAAATTTTTGTTTCCTATGTAGTGAAAATGGTGTTAGTTATTTATTTATCCATAGGCATTACCTTTGTTGTGGTTGTGTTAATCTATTCCGGGGAGCAGATTCATTCAGATTTAAGCGGAATTATTCCTAAGTGCTGACTGTTATTATTGCCACAAGACTGGGACATTTTCACAGTATTTCCATCCCTTTCTGAATTAAAAAAAAAAACAAAACCCTGAACTTCTCCTCTGTGTAATTGTTCAAGGTGAGCTAGTTTAAATCTTTTTCTTTTTAAAATGGAGCACTGGAGATTTCTGTTTACAATTTCGGATGCTATCTTTTGCATGTCAGAAATGATAACCGAAACATCTTGCGTGAGAATTAATTTTGTGAATAAGAATTGAAGGCTGCTTCAATTAAATAAATAAATAAGCAAGTATCCGAGTATAAACACCAACCTCTTCCGGGAAAAGAACTCTTTAGGATTAGAGATAACTGTTTGCTGATGGAATATTTTTCGGTGAATTAAAACCTTCAGGCTGGTTTCTTTTCCTGGTGGAAGACGGGGCATTTTCCTCGTAAATATTTGACTGCTTGTGAAGAGTCCCTGAAATTTAACTGGAGGATTTGTTTGTTTGTATGTTTGTTTATTTGGCTGTGGTAGTACTATATGGGCAACTTCTGCGTTCCATAAAAACAGGAGTCCTGCTTGATGACAAAAGAAATCTCAGAGCTCTTTGCGGTAGAACATATGTGTACAATAATTGTCTGGCAACTAAAGTTTTATATAGAGTCTTTTATATGCCTGACAAATTAGAAGTAAAACTAGCAAAGATACTTACGCATTTGAAATTTCCTTACTCTTCTACTAAGTTCGTTTAAGAGGGTTCCCTGCCTTGCGGATGTTGTGTTTTGGACAGGACACAAATCCATCTCCGGCTAGAGAGTTGCAGTGTTTTAAAAGCACGAGCAATTACACATACCACCACACTGTACGTCGTATTGTTCTAGAGAGAGAGTACTGTTCTAAATCAGATGGTAAATTTGGACAAGTCTTCCCTGCAAACTGCCAGTGGATATCTAGATATAAACACGTCATTGCATATAGTTTCATGCCTGGTATTTGCAGTTTGTACTCAATTAAAGGGACCTCTTCTGTGTATTCAGTAGAGCCATTTTTATTAAATGCACTAGTACGTCAATTAACTTTTTGTTTCCAGAGAAGGACTTCCTAATTTGAAGGTAGTCTGTAGTACGTGTTTTTAAGATCCTAGATCAAATGCCCGCCTGCAGTTATTAAGCACTCATTTGGTGAATTTTACTCTCTTCAGACTTTCAAAATAAGAACATGGTTTTGGTTTATCTTCGCAAATGTGGTTATACTGTAAATGTAGTGACTTGGAGAATTTTACTGTTAGGTTTGAATAACTTTTCAAACATAATTTGCCTTCCATCTCCCGAGCTAAAGATTTTAATCCTATTTTTTGGTCATTTTTCTGAATTACATAATTTTAATAACTGATTGAACCGAATACATAATATTCACTATATTTGTTTTCACCGGAGAGAAGCGCAGAGCGTTTGTGCCAGACAAATCAATTTGTCATGCTTATATACCAAGCAATGCAGCAGCTAACGCTTGGTCTAACAGCAATCGACTAGATAGTTATATTTAATAAATGCAGCATAAACCTCATCGATGAAGTCATTTTGATCAGAAATACCCCAGGATAGCAAATTTGAACAGCGAGTGAAATAGAGGGCTTGTATTGCTTTTTTTTTTTAAATTGTCTCTAAAGCTGAAAGCATCGAAGTAACTTTGACACATCGTCTTAGACATGCAAATAATTTAATGAGCTGGAGTAAGTTAGTAATATTAAGGTACGAGCCATTTAAAATAGCACCTGAACTCTCCCAGCCTGTGACAACATGCAAATGCTTGAATACACCCGTCTCTGATGGTGGAGGATGAAGTACCCTGCTCGATAAAGGAACGTACACTGTGTGTTGGTCGATTGTTTGCACGAGGGCATGCAGCACAGGGTACGCTCTTCTAAGGGAAGATCGTTTTGCATTTACTGTATAAATATCTGCTGCTTGGTTATGAGGCGGGGAGTTTCGCAGGGAGCGATCGGTGATTTCAAACAAGTTGTCAGAATCTGGGTGTCCGTGACTTGCCCCTCGCTGCTGCTCGCCGAGAGGGTGGACGTGTGGCCTGAAGATCCAGTGGCGTGGCTATTGTTTCGCCGGGCTCTTGCTGGCCAGCTAGCTGTGTGCCAGAGTCCTTGCTTCTGAGGAGGAGTTGGTGTGCGGTGGGGTAATCAGCCAGGACTGGAGAAATTCAGATTTGGTATGGCAGCGCCCAGACAGCTGCTTCAAGAGATCTTTTCTGTAACTGTAGGGAAGGATTAAAGACAGCTCCATTAATAACACAGGAACACAGTTTATTATTCTAATGATGCATATTGATAATACAGGATTTTAGCGATGCGAATGCAGCCTGTTCTTCCTCCTGGACAGATGCCCTTCTGAAGTTTGAGCTGACATTCTCTTAATGGTCCTCTTAAAAATTAGATTTACTGAGCTGGGGAACCACAGATGTCATTCCTCTGCATTAACCCAAAACTTCTCTTATATGTGGGAAGGAAGACCAAAAAAAAAAAAAAAAAAAGACCCCAAAGAAAAGTAATCCCAAGCAGTGAAGTGAAACTAACTGTACTTCAGGAAGCGTGGTAATACTTCATGCTTAAAGTCATCTTAATAGCTTTTTACTCATCTAATATATGATGCTCTATTGTGATTTGTAATGTGTGAATGAAAATAAAGTAAAGCCACATTTCCTTTTAATCTTTAATTTCACAAACATGGCTTCTTACCATGTTAAGAAATGGTGAGGGCTGCAAGGGAGAAAGGAATGTAACCTGAGCCACAGCCGTGACATTCCCATGGAGCATTTTTCACATGAAAGGCTTTTGTCAACCCAGTAAAGGACCAGGAGTTTTTGTTTGATGTTTGCAGGTGTTCAGCAGAGAGCACTAAAACAATTCAGCCATGCTGGTTTGGAGACTCTGACCTTAACAGGGAGAATTGGTGAAGACTGAAATTATTTTTAAGAAAACTCCCCTGGAGTTACCTCAAATTTATACTGTATTTGTAAAGTGATTTAATACCTGTTACTTAAATTGAACAATACACATCCATTTGAATGAAGTGGGGTTTTTCTTTTTCTCATTTTTTTTTCCTTCTTTATTTTTTTTTTCCCCCTTTTTTAGGACAGTTGCCAAAATAAAATTAATTTTCCCAGATCTTCTAAAATTTTCTCAATAGTTTACCTTAGCTACCACAGTAAAAGCATTTGTCATAATCTTAAGTGTGAGCCATTGTAAAATGAGGGAAGGATGATGATCACTGGCGCTCGATTCTGGGAATGGATTTTGCAGCAGTTTTGCAACAATTGTGGTGCTAAAGAATTTGCTAGGTCTGTCACATTTGGCATATTTCAGTTTTCGAACTGTTAAATCAAAGCCCACATCTTCCTGATTATGTTCAATTTCTGCTTCTTCTATTTTAAGTATTTCATTTTACCTAAGTTTTCAAGCATCTGTTATAGATTGCCCACTGTGTATATGTTTGAATATTGTGTGGGTGTGAGCAGCAGTAGAAAAACTGTATTCTTATGATGGGCCATTCCTGTTGCACACACACAAAAAATAGTCTAAAAACCTTTGGTAGCACAGACATCACTGAATAAAGTGAAGGCAGTTTAAAGGATTTAAAGACTTGCTTTTAATTTTGCCATTAGTTTGATTAGGGCTTGTCCTACATTAGAATAACAGCGATTACAAATTAATGCATCTTTAACTAGGGAATCGCACATTCAGCTTGGTTTTGAGGTGCTTTTTGTACTTTGGATGTGTCTGGGAGTAAATTATAACCAAATCGAGTTTGAGTACGGTTCGTTTTTGGAGTGTAGCCTTCTGGCAAAGGTGCATCGTTTTGCTATTGTTGGTTGATCATCAGAAAAACTGAATTAAATACAGACTTTATCTTGAAAATGTTTTGGTAGCCGCTCGGGACGCGTGCACCGGTCCCGTTAGCATCAGTAGGATTAATGTGTGTGTGGAGATTACGCCCTTTACCGGGGAGGACTGAGGAAGACTGTGGTTTATTTGGGGGGGGTTCTGATGCAGCGTTGCCATTCAAAAGGCAAAAACCCAACACGAGCCGTGAGAAATTGGAAGCCCGTGGGTCAGAAAAGGACTTGTACCGATGAAGGCAAAGTGCAGCGGGGACCTAGCTATTGCAGCTCCGCGGGGGTAGGCCGCGTTTGCAATAGAGCATGGCAGAAAGCAGAGGGGATCAGCATTGTACGTGGGTGTTGGCTCTGCCGGCGCGTTGCACCACGGCCCTCCGTTTGCCAGGAGCCGCTTCGGGGTGCTGGGGTGCAGGGCACGGCCCCTCGGAGCCCCGGCCCGCGCTGCTGCTCGCCCCTGCCCGTGCTTTGGGATACTGCTCTCTCGTTCCGCCTGCTGAAAAATACTCGAGGCTGTAGCTCCGGAGATACACAAAGGCAACTGCTTCCATATTTTTCATCCCTAATGTTTCGTAATTATGATTAAGAAGAAGAAGAATGCTAGTTACCTCCCATCCTTCCAGCTATGTTTACTTGCGGAGCGTTCGATCCTCCTCCCCTCCGAGTCCTATTAAAGAGAGTACTGTGGGGGCAGAACAAGACCCGTGCTACGGTATTTGAATTGGCCTGAGACACCGTAGCACATACTTGGAGGAGCTAAATATTTAGTTACAAAGAAGTGAGGTTACTTCGGAGTTTGTATCTTGCTCGCAGTGGCAAACTGAGTGTATCCTGCAGAGGACGTTCCAGAGGCACGGCCACCTACGATCACTCATATATATTTAAATGTGGAAGTGAAGGTCCTGGCTTAGTAATTTAAAAAAAAAAAAAGAGATAAAAAAGACACCCCTTGATTTCTGATGTTGGAAGAAAACTACCCT